GAAAAAAAAAAAACTCATGCAAGATACTTTCTTTTGAGGTAAAGGGTTGAGTTTGTTGGCAATAAATAGGAGCAAGGTAAACAAAAGTTATAAATGGTATATGGACAACATAAAATTTTTTATTACCAACCTTTATTCTAACAGCTTCAACACATCCAACTACAATCGCACAATGCCATTCAATCCACATAGGCTAACTAAGAAACTAGTTGAGCTAACTTGCTGGATGTGTAAATTGTGTTTTACTTAAAGCTGCACAAACACCTTCAAATTCTCAAATCATCGCAAGTATGTCAGCAATAATATAGCCAAAATTCCTTTTAACTTGAACGCAATATGAATTATCTAGTGGGCATCCAATAAGAAAGTTGTCCAAAATGAAGCTTAAGGCTTCGTTAAGGATAGCTTTATTGATTTTCTTTTCAAATCATAATCATATTTCTATTTGGTCATTGCATTTTCACTATTTTTTTACTAGAAAACTACTTTCTTCATCATATTTAAATAAGTTACTTTCACGGTAGCAGCTTTACAACTATATTTACAACAAGTTGTAATCATCCCAAATGGCCCTAAATGTTTAGGATGAGTGCCACAAATACTGGTAGTATGGTGAGAAAGCATCCCAGATAGCTGCCGGTGTAATTCCATGAGAAAATATTTGGTAGATGTTGGCTAAATTTATAAATTTATATAATAAGAAAGATTAAAATTAGTATGATACTGACATGAATGATCTGATGGTTGAATACCGAATACATGCAATTACAAAATTAATCAAGAGAAAGTTGCATTTTAAGAACATACTCAAATGATCCTTAGTAGAGATGAACTTCTGCTTACCAAGCTAAGACCAATCAACTGCTTAGCCTTATGCTTCAATAAGGAGATCTTTCTTCGTGAGTTCATTAGTATGTCTGACTTCTTTCTTTGAGTAATATTTAATTGCTTTGAGTATCCATTTGATGAAAAATCCTATGAAAATTAATATGGTATTTGACATATGGTTAGAGTTTATTCTTTTGGAAATCTTCATGAATTAATTTGGTTAATGCAAAATTCATACAAGATAAAATCCTTATAAATTCAAAATTTTTAAGTTCAAAGTTGTTTACAATTGGATTAATTTTACTTTTATTAATATAAATTCATATATTAGCCCTTTTATTTGAAGATTGAAATCTATTGGGGAAGTAAACAATATAGCAAATAGAGATAAGAAAGAGAAAATGCAGCATAAAGAAAAAATATAAGGATTTAATGTCAATAAACCCAAAATTAGGAAAAAAAACCCCATAACCACACCACACCTAGAAATTCACTATAAAATTTGGGAAAAATAGTACATATCTCTCTTATCTCTAGCTCTCTCATTGTCTCTCTTCACCCTTGTACCATTCTCTTACAAATAAATAAAGAGGAAACTATCAAAAACCTCCAAGGGATGTAACTATTAATGAAAAATGAGAAAGAAAATTACCAGCCCATCTCACCTGCTAGATTTGGAGCACTATGAAGCTGAACTATCAGTCTCTTGTCTACTTAACAGCATTGTACTTCCATGGTATGGAGTGCCGCGGTGCTCCCTAACGATGCTATAGTAATCGAGTACACAGCACAAAAGTGTTAAAGGTTGTACCAAAAAATTTTTATGGGTGCAAAGTAGGGCAAGATCCCCCCAATGAGTTTGATATATTAAAATAAGGTCTGTGGAAACAATATAACTAGATTGATTAACACAATTAAATTTCACACAAAAATAATGATCTCCCACTTAGGAATTGATTACAATCAATCATTCTCCTAATATGTAGCATAAATCATAATATATGTAATGTGGCTCACCCCTGCTCCCATCCTTCATGAAGACTAATTAAAGCTACACATAACTTTAGTTTATCAGCCATCGTCTTTGTTAGTATGTCTGTAGGATTTTGGGTTATTTGTATCTTATCCAAAGATAACATATCATCTTCTAGAAGAGATCTGATGAAATGATACTGAAGTTAGATATGCTTCATCCTAGCATGGAATGTAGCATTCTTGGCTACATGAATTTGAACTCCTGTTGTAATTATGCAACTTCCCATTCCTTTGCCCCATGCCAAGTTTAGCCATAAAACTTTGCAACCGTATCATCTCCTTGCTAGCCTCAATGATAGTAATTTACTTAACTATTGTGGTTCAGAATGCAATAATCTTCTATAAGTTAGTAACCAACTCAATACATTATTTACTAAAGTCAAGATATAACAGTTGTGCTCCTCATTCCATCAAGATCTCCAACAAGATCAGAATATACATACCCCTGTAGGCTAATCCACATATCTCCAAAGAAAAGAGCTTTGTTAACTAATCCTCTCAACTACCTGAGAATCTGCTTAATTGCCTCCCAATTAAGTTTTCCTGGATTACTCATGAATCAGCTGACTGCTCCCACTATGTATGCTATATCTAATCTCATACAAATCATAACATACATCAAACTTCTAACTACTGATGCATACTAAGTCCTCTCCATCTATTCTTGCTCTACTTCAGATTTAGGTGATTGTTCTTGGAATAATTGAAAATGACTATCCAAGGGAGTGCAAACTGACTTTGCCTCATTTATGTAAAATCTTTGCAGCACCTTTTCAATATACTCAACTTTAGCTAACATCAGTATACTTTCACTTTTATCCATGTTGATTATCATAATGAGAATTTTCTTTACTGGACCCAAATCTTTCATTTTAAAATCCTTTGATAATTATTCCTTTAAATGTCTTATCTTCTTTATTTCTAACTCAACAATCATAATGTAATCCATTTACAAAAGAATAATGATTTAAGAGTTATTAAAATATTTAAAAAAATTAATAGTGATATGCCTGGAATTTTATGTACCCATTTTCTAACATAAACTTATCAAATTTCCTGTACCACTATCTTGGTGTTTGCTTCAACCTATATAGGCTTCAACCCATATTGGCACTTTTTGAGCCCACACACTACATCTTACTTTCCTATGATCATATATCTCTGAGGTTGCACCATGTAGAACTCTTCTTCAAGGTCACCATAAAAAAATGTTATCCTTACATCCATCTGCTCTAGATATAAATTCTTCACTACTATTATGCTCAACACAACTCTGATTGTAGCCATTTTCACCATTGGAGAGATATTGAGGTCCACTCCTTCCCTTTATTGAAAAACTTTAACTATAAGCCTAGCCTTGTAGTGCTTGCTACCATCAGGTTCTTTTTTTAATTAATAAACCCACTTATTCTATAATAATTTTTTTTCATATAATAGCTCTATCAACTCCCAAGTCTAATTTAACTCAAGTGAATACATCTCATCACCATGGATTACTCCCACTTCTTTAAATCATAACTTGAATGGCTTAATCATAGCACTATGGATCATCACCATATGTCAGTACTAGATAGTATGACTAAAGAGAATACCTATATACTTGTTTTGAGATTCCACTAAATCTCTTGAATTTAGTAGCAGGTGCATGATGAACTCTTTTTGTTCATTAGCTTATAATACCTCTTGTCTTTGTGTTCTTGATCATCATCATCACCTATCTCAACATTTTAGAAGAATCTTCGAGAGTCTCATTTATATCCTTGTATATTTCATTTTTAATGAATGTAACATCCATGCTCCTAATAGACTTTTTATTCTAATAATCCCAAGCTTTATAGCCAAATTCACCTAAGTCATATACAATTGATGGATTTTGGATCAAGCTTACTTTTAGATCCTGTATCAATATGAATATAGGATGAACAAATAAAAACCTTAAGGTGAGATAAACTTACTTCCTTACCACTCAAGGCTTTCTCAGGAAACCCCTCATTTAGAGGAACTGATGGATCATAATTGATCAGATATATAATAGCATTCACTGCCTCTACCTAGAACTGTTTCAGTAGACTTACAAGCAACATCATGCTTCTAGCACGCTCAATGATAAGTTCATTCATGCACTCCAAAACATCATTCTATTGTGGTGTTCTTGGAACAATGAGCACGAACAAAATACTTCTTAAACTTATTATCACGATACTCTTCATCATTATTTGATATTAGATATTTCATGTTTAAACCTATCTCATTCTCAACCATAGCCTTCCACTTCTTTAAAACATCAAACTCATCTAACTTTAATTATACACACTAAAACAAACATTTCAAACCTTAGACCTGTCAATATTGGACCCGACCCGAAAACCCGACCCGAACCCGACCCGGAATTTTCGGGTTTGGGTTGACCCGAACCCGAAGCGGGTCGGGTTCGGGTCCGGTAAAACGACCCGTTTGCAAAAACGGGTCGGGTTCGGGTTGACCCGACGGGTTGCCGGGTCAACCCGAAAACCCGTTTAATTTAAAATTTTTTGATTCCCGCACTTGCCCCTTGCCCGCTGCCCCAGGCCACCAGCCCGAGCTGCCCGCTGCCCCAGCCCGCCCTCACACACACACACTGGACACATAACTATCAATGTTTTTCCGTGGGATGAATAATTCTCATATGGGCATCAGCCAATAACATGTAAGTTGTAAATAGAATACTTCTCTCTCACTCTCACACATAGAAAATTATTAGGTCCGGACACCAGATGTCGAAATAGGTCCGAACGTCAATAAAATGTCAACACGTGGAGTGGACACATGAATATTCAATATGATGTGTCCGCGGAACTTTAAGCCAAGCGCACCAAAAGAGCAGTCAAAGTGCAGTAAAAAAGCGCAGTTAAAGCGCAAGTAAAGCGCAGGTAAAGCACAAATAAAGCGAAAAAAAAACACAACTAAAGTACACTACACGTGTCAAAATTTCAGTGGATGTCCAGATGTATCTCTACGTTCAATGTCCAAACCTAATAATATTCCCAAACATTACTCAATGAACACCTACCTACCAATGTTTTTCTATAGGAAAAATAATTCTGCTCCGGGGATCAATGCCTGACTACAAACCCATTTCATATTTTTATTTAAAATAATTAAAGAAGATAACATGTAAGCTATACATAGAACACTTATTCCACACTTTAACAAACTTTGGCTTCATTTGGAGTAGCTTTCTAAAGCAATTTTTTATATAAAAATTTCTAGTTAAAAAATTTTTGTACTAAAAAATTACTTTAGAAAGCAGTAATAAAACCATCCCAAATAAATTTTTTATTTCTCTAAAAGTGATAGAACTTTCAGATTTCAAATTGATAGTTTCTCCTGGCTTCTAGTTCACCCTGCTGTCCTGAAGAAGAACAAGACCAACTGAGTAAGCAGAAATTATAAGGGGAGTTGGGACTTTCTCAGCAACGTTGCGGATCCTTTTCACTTTCATTGCCGCACTCTTTGTTTTAATTGCCAAAAGAGGAGCGGCCAATAGAGCAAGTATTACCCTGTTTGCAAGAACTAGGCGCAGGTCCCTGTGAATCCACTCCATGATCAAATCAAAGAACTGGTTTTTGTCGAGTCCTTTGTATTCTGAACGAAAATCCTGCAATAATATCAGAACAAACTGGAAATGAGAATGTGTAGGCATTAAAAAAAAAAATAGATGTTTGAGAGCAGATATAGCATTCAACTCCGAAAATGGTTCAAGTTCGAAACTCCTTCGACAAATATATTTGCCAGATATGGATGAAAGTCAAATTTATTATGTTCATTTTTTCTCGTGCATTAAACTATTAAAAGCCATCATATATGGACTAAAGGTCCATTTGAGATCACTTTTATTAATTATTAATTATTTATTTTAATTATATTTAAAAATGAAATAAAACATGTTTATATCTTAAAATTATATTTTTATTTATTTATGAGGTGGTGGCGGCAGTTGCCAATAGGGCAACAACATATGAAACAATAAAAATGGCAAAGGCCAACAACAATAGTCAGTGGCAATCAATGATGGTAGTTGATAGTTGTAGCATCTAGTAACATCACATGGAGGTGATAGCTATTTTTAAAAATATTCAAAACAACTAAGAAATATTTTAAATATTTTTAAAAACAAATAAATTTATTTTAAAAAATAAAATAAAAAAATTTAAAACACACTAACTATTGTAATTTTCAAACCAAGCAATGCGCCGTTGCAGTTTTATTTTTTATATTTTTAATTTCGAACGGTGGTAAAAAAACTGATTTCTCTGTTTTTATTTGTGTGGGATGAGAACTTATAAGTGATTGAAATTTTTTTTCTTTCCTTTTGAGCATGAACGGCATTGAGAATAAAAGTTTTTTTTTTCTTTTTTCTCTTCCAATTTTTGTGTTGTTTTTTGCTTCCATCATTGGTATCAAAGCACGGTTGGAGAATGACAGCGAGTTAAAACACCAATAATTTGCAACCTCAATTGTCCAAGTTCACGGAGAAGAATTACAATCAATGGAGCATTCAAATACGGATGTTGTATCAATTTCAAGAGTTGTGGGAGATTGTAGAGAGTGGTTTTCAGGAGTCTGAAGTTGAAAGATATTTGAATCAAAATCTTCATCAAGAATTGAAAGAAAATTGGAAGGCCCTTTTTCATCTATCGAGCGGTAGATGAAATTATTTTTGAGCAAATTTATATGGTGAAGATGGTATGTTTACAAATCCTACGAAACCAATTTGATATGTTGAAGATAGAGTCAAAAAGTGTAGAAGAATATTTCAATCAGGTAATTGTCAATGTTAACCAATTGAAGTTGAATGGAGAACTTGTAGAAGATAAAAGGGTTATTGAGAAGATCCTACGAAGCTTGACTAGAAAATTTGAAGCAATCGTGGTAGCCATAGAAGAGACAAAGAATATAGAGAAAATGTTTATTGAAGATTTCTTAAATCACATGAATTAAGATTGAAGCAATATGATTCAACACCATTGTTGATTGAAGCCATTGGAACTTATTCACTCAGATTTATACGGACTGATGTACACTACTTCTATTGGAGGTAATTATTATTTTCTTACTTTTAATGATGATTATAGTTGAGAAGTTTGAGTGTATTTTCTGAAAAAAAAGTCACAAGTATTTGAATATATAAAAATATTCAAAGCACTTGTGGAGAAGGAGAGTGGCCATTTCATTAAGGTGTTGAGGAGTGATAGAGGTGGAGAATATGTTAGTCATGAGATGCAAACTTATTTGATGGAGGATGAGATATGCCATCAGTTAATAACTAGATACACACCATAATAAAATGGGGTAGCTGAGAGTTGAAAGAACCATTATAGGATTGGCTAGGAGTATGTTGAAGGAGAGGCAAGTGCCCAATCTGCTTTAGGCTGAAGCTATGTCATGTGCTGTGTATTTGTTGAATAGAGTGACATTAAAAAGCAATTCATCTCAAACCCCTTTTGAAATTTGGAGTGGCTATAAGCCTAAGGTTGATCACTTGAGAGTATTTAGGAGTATCTCTTACGTTCATGTACCTGATCAAAAGAGAAGGAAGTTGAATAAAAAATTTAAGAAGTGTGTGTTTGTTGGATACAGTGAAAAGTTTAAAGCCTATAAACTATATAATACTCCAACAAAGAAAGTGATAGTGAGTAGGGATGTGAGATTTGAAGAGAACTTAGTTTGGGATTGGCTTGAAAAAATAACAAGGAAATGTCACAGTTGTGGAAAATTCAGAAAAAATTATTGATGTGTAGAGCAACTAACACCATCACACACTATAGTGAGATTGAGAGAACCATCTAGTAATGGTATGGAAAAGGTGAAGACAAGAAGCTTGCAGGAGATATATGACATTATAAATTATAATGAGGAGTTATCTCAATTTACTTTATATGTAGATGATGAGCCCTTAACTTTTAGTGAGGAAGTCACAGATAAGAGATGGATGGATGTCATGAGACAAGATATTGATGTTATTGAGAAAAATGGCACATAGAGTTTGGCCTCCCTTCCTAAACGTCAAAAATCCATTGGTGTCAAATGGGTGTACAAAGTGAAAAAGAATGTTGATGGAGGTGTAAACAAATTCAAGGCTAGATTTGTATTTAAAGGGTACAAGCAGAAGCATGGGATAGATTATGAAGAGGTATTTGCACCGATTGCTGGATTTGATACAGTCAGATTAATTTTCTTTATTACAGCTATAAATAGATATTAGATTTATCAATTAGATGTGAAGTCGGCTTTCTTGAATGGTGTTTTAGAGGAAGAAGTATACGTAGATTAGCCTGAAGGTTTTATTGTGAAGGGAAAAGAGCATATGGTGTATCACTTAAGAAAAACATTTTATGGCTTGAAGCAAGCCTCGAGGGCTTGGAATTTATGCATTGATAGGCATTTTGGAGAAGAAGGGTTTACTAAATGTCCTTATGAACATGGTGTGTATATGAAGATTGACTCAAATAGCAATAGATTGATTATATGTTTATATATAGATGACTTGCTTATAACAGTTGATGATGAGCAGATGATTGCAAACTTTAAATCAGCTATATTCAAAAGATTTGATATGACAAATGCTGGCAACATGTCATTATTTTTAGGTATAGAAGTTCATCAAAAAGATGATGACATTTGGATATGTCAAAAGAGGTATGCCAAAGAGTTGCTTGAGAAGTTTAGAATGAATCATTGCAATAGTGTGTTAACACCAATGCAAATTGGAGTTCTTTTCACAAAAGAAGAAAAATTTGTTGATCCGACATTGTACAAAAGTTTGATTGAAAGCCTCAGTATACTGTGGGCATCTTGAGCAAATTCATGGAGAATCTAATGGAGTCTCAGTGGCTTGCAGCGAAGAGGATTCTTAGATATATCAGTGGGACAATTGAGTTTGGCTTTTATTATCAGTGCAGTGGAGATATGAGATTACTTGGATATTGTGATAGCGATTGGCAAATGATCATGAGGAAAGAAAGAGAACAAGTGGATATGTGTTTTATGTTGGTGATACAACTTTCACTTGGAGCACACAGAAGCAGAAAGTTTAGCATTATCTACATGTGAGGCAGAGTACATATTAGCAGCGGTAGCGGCATGTGAAGCAATGTGGTTGAAATTTTTGTTCAAGGAATTTTATGGAGAGATTGATGAAGCTACAACTCTTTATGTGGATAATAAGTCGGCGATCGCGATGGCCAAAAATCCAATAGAACATTGCAGGAGTAAGCGCATAGATGTGTGTTATCATTTTATCAGAGATGCAGTAAAGATATGTCATATTAGCATGAAGCACTACAGTATAGAGGATCAGGTAGCTGATTTGTTCACCAAAGCCGACACCGAGGTTCGTAAAACTACTGAAGATGCCTGGGATGATTCGTTTGAGGGGGAGATTGTTGGATTTTTCAAACCAAGCAATGCGTCATTCAATTTTAATTTTTTATTTTTAATTTCGGATGGTTGTAAAAAACTGATTTCTCTGTTTTTATTTCTGTGTGGGATGAGAACTTATAAGTGATTGAAATTTTTTTTTCCTTTTGAGCGTGAACAGTATTGAAAACTTTTTTTTTGGCTTTTTTCTCTTCAAATTTTTGTGTTGTTTTTTGCTTCCATCACTAACAACATATTTTTTAAAACACGAAAGTGATCACAAATAGAGGCTAAAAATCATTAGCAATAAGCTTTTTATGTTCTATGATGGGTTGGCCCCTCAACAAGGTATTGTTAAGCCTACCCAGAAAATGCTCAAAAGAATGTATTATGAAGATAATGATGATGATAATGTCTATATATTTTATGGTGGCTTCAGCTCTTCAATAAAACTGTGCTTCACTATCTACTTCAGAATTTATCCCAATGCGACCAATGATAGCATAACTATATCAAAGCATTTTATGTTTAGTCCAATCCACATTTCGTTTCTTTAAGTTAAGAAAAATGCTTTTTAAAATGATAAAATTAACTAAATTTCATCATTGCTTAGACGTAATTAAAACATAACATTGAATTAAACTCTTTAAATCCCTCAAAACCCTCCTAAATGTAATGATTTGATTTCAAATATAAATTGAGTAAAACCATATCATTAATTTCTATGAAATGCTTTTCCTTTACAAGCACCCAGTTGATGCCTTAAAGTGAACTAGAAATTTGCATCAAACATTTTCGATAAAAAATTAGCAAGCCAAAAGTTTCAAAATCCAAACTGACCACATTCAACCAACCCTATATCTATACTACTAAAAATCCATTTGTGATTTCACTCAAATAAAATCCCGATCCATCATTAAGAAAAGAAATCGTAAACCTTTCTTATTTTAGATCAATCAAGCACATAGCAAACTAAACAATTCATAGTTTAACCCTTGGAAGAGAGGCGGATCCTTGCAAGAAAAGAGGATACAGAGGATATTTATTGAGGGAGAACAAAATCTCTGGTTAATCACAAACATATTTTTGTAACAGAAACAGCAGATTTCATCATCCAAGAGCAGCAACTAACATGAATTCTTAGTTGGTGATGAGCACAAGGCTGATGGATCTGTGGCTGATTGTGGCAGAAAGGGATCCAAATCCTTAAGAGCTCTCTCGCTAACTTCTGTGATGACC